CAGGCTTTTCTGATGCAGATTAGGCTGGATATCCTTCCGATAGAAGATCGATCACAAGTTATTGTGTCTTTCTTGGAGGAAATCTTATATCATGGAAGAGTAAGAAGCAAAGTATAGTATCTCGATCAAGTGCAAAGTCAGAATATAGGGCTATGGCGAATGTAACATTAGAGATGATATGGATCAAAGATTTACTGACAGAAATTAAACGCCCTCCTAAATGCCCTATGAGCTTATATGGAGACAATAAGGCAGCAATCCATATTGCTGAGAATCTTGTATTTCATGAGAGAACCAAACATATTGAAGTTGATTACCATATAATTCGTGAGAAACTTATGGAGAAGATCATTGAAGCAAAACATGTGTCAACGGGACATCAGCTAGCTGATATTTTCACCAAACCACTAGGTAAAACACGAGTGGATTTTATTTGTGACTACTGGGCATTATGTATGATGTATACGCTCCAATTTGAGGGGGAGTGTTAAGAGGCTATAGGGTTTTAGTCCCACATCTGTTAAGAACATAACTGTGCTATCATTGTATTAATATAAATAGACGAGGAGAGGCTACAGAGCTATTATCTCCTGTTATCTAATTTCTCTTTGTACTAATTAATAATGCTGAAGCGTTAAAGTAATTATTAGATTCTCAATATATACCAACCATGTAAAATAGCAGCTTGAAGAGTAATATAGGTACGTATGTCCATTCAGGCTGGCCCAACTCGGCCTGGCCTGGAGATCTAGGTCCGGGCCGGGTAAAATGCTTAACTCGGACCCGGACCTGGTGGGCTTGGGTTGGGTCTGGGTCTAGGCCCTAACAAGCCGGACACCGGCCAGCTCGGTTATTTTTCCTTTTTCTTAAAATTTGCTTTAAAATAGCCATTTTAGGTTTTCTAGGCTATTTGGGCAGACCGAACCGGGCCGGGTCCGAGCCGCCCGGTCCAATAGTCAGTTTTTTGACCATTTGGACTGGGTTGGGTTCGGGCCAGACCCGGATCGGGGTACTCTAGTTTGGCCATTTTCTTGGTCGGGCCAGGCTGAGCCCGATGCGGTTTGCACTGAGCTGACCCGGACTCAAGCACAAAGCCCGATTTGGTCTAGAAACCCGAACTTTTCTAGGATCCAGGCCCTGCGCAGGCCCGGCCGGGTTCGGGCCTTGGGCCGGAACGGACAGGCCTAAATATAAGCACAAGGAGAAACTCAATAACAATTTATAAGAAAATAAAATAATCAATAATAAAGATGAGGATATAGCATGGTCCGACACTCGCCTGTGTCCACCAGGAGAGAAAAGAGTACTTTATTATCAAAGATTATTATGAGATGTTCACCTTGTGTTCTGAAGGAACCCCTCAAGAATCCTTCTCTTGTTCTCACAAAACCTACAAACAAACTCTAGGGTTTCCCTTTTGTTTCTCGTCTACAACCTATTTAACTTCTCTTACAATAATGCAGCTTTTTCTTTTCTTGATGGCATGATTTACCATGAATCTATTGAGGAGATTTTATAGAGCATCCAGTTTCTCCTATCTTGGTTTCCAACTGAATTCCTTCTTTGACTTAGAATATTCAAATTTAAGAATATAAAATTGGATTTCAATTTATTAAAATTGCTTCTTTCTAGCCAAAGTCAAATAGTTCAAATCAGAACAGAATTAGTGGAATATTAAGGATGAATCCTAATGAACTCCACTTTAGATCTGTATGAAAGTCGCCTTTGAAAATTGATTATTTCTTCTTTTCAATCTTTGAATTGTAAGTTTTAATCTGTAGAGCGTATACATATATACAAAGATATCCCTTACCTTTTACCCCTCTCCAAAGAATACGACAAGAACTGCCCTTGCTCCTTGATTGATGCCAATCTTTTTAGATGACTTGATACCATCTCTAATTGGTGCAAACTTCAAGCTTGGCTCTACGTTTGCTATAGGCCTAAACATAACTCCATCTGAAGTCGAACTCCCACGCAAGAGACCCAAGTTTGGTGCAAACTTTTCTTCCTTGTGGTTGAATATCTTTCCACCTCGGGCTATCTTCCCCTCAAGCAGCCTGTATAAGCCATCTCCACACGTCTTTCCAGTTAAAATGAGATCCCTTTTTCTGCCTATGGTATGACTCCCTTGTGCACTTAGGTGCGGTATCCTTTTCGAATCAAGCACTTGGATTCTGTACCCTTTAAGTAACCTGTAACCTCAGCTGTAGCTTCAAAATTTTACTTAATTATTTACTTAATTATTGTTGGAGGGCTAAAATCAATCAACAGATGCAAAACTCAATCTGATAAACGACGGGTAACTCGTATTAGGTTTCTCTTCCCAAATGGAGCAATAGTTCTAGCACCTGGTGATAGGTAGACAAAATAAAGATGTCTTTCCATGAATGGATCTTTTGATTGAAATGTCCTTGAGCTAACCTTGCACGGAGGATGCATATTAGATGGATCAGTATGGATCTTTTTTAATTTTATTAAGTGGTCCTGCAACCTTGCAAGTTCTAGTATGTTCTATAACTTGCAGTTCAAGAAAGTGTTTTCTTCAACTGGCCATGATCCAGTTTAAGGGACATCTTCATGTTTGCAGAAGCAATAGGAAGGGCTAAAGCTAGCACTCCTGTTAGCATCTAGGAGTACTATATAATTGTGGCCACTTCTCATCCACACATTTAAATGTGTATACTTGAAAATGGTCCCCACTTGCTTACTCACACATTGAATGAGTGGGTGATAAGTGATCGCATCACTACCATGGACCAAAATTGCTCGTTGGTACAGAGGATACCGCTATTCCTCTTTATATAAATACATAAAGTTCATGTTTCCATTCATTCATCTGCTGAGTTTTATTGAATTGTCATGTTCGGTGTTGCTGACCATAGTGTACACGTGTCCTGTGTCCCTGTCCATGCTACTTAGGTTTTGATCTTTAATATAAACTTGTAGCTCAATGCTGCTTGGGGTTTCAGACTATTAGACAGATGTTTATTTTGACTTTATGCATCAGGTGCTTCCACATCTTGCACATTGAAGCTTGAATTTTATGTGAAGATTAGTGCTCTTTGGCTTGTCTTCTATCTTAAAAGATTCAGGTAGGCCTTTAGTCTTGGTAAGAACATTTTGACATGTTTTACCCTGTGGCATGAACTCTGTCGCAGAACTATTTTCGTACAATGAACCATTGTTTTAAATATCCCCGACATGGCCTGATATATCACCCAATATATTCTTTTACAGGGTTTGCCGCAACCAATATGGTCTCTAAATATCATTTACCGCTTTCAGGGTATGGCCAATACATCAGCCGATATATTGACCGATATATCCTTTTACATGGCTTGTCGCAAAATAATATACCGCTTTTGGCAATTTTTGGGTGATATATCATGATTTTCCCATTATATCAAATGACATTTTGGCCGAAAAATTAGATGAAATGTTGCAACGTCGATTTGTACTTTTGTTTATTTTACAATGTTGATTAGTGATTCTAAACATATATTATTTATATTTTGTATGCGTAGATTTTATTAAGTATGTTGAGATTACATTTTAGTGCATTATATTATATATTCAAACATCCAATATCACATTCCGATATTTACCACATATCCCCGATATTTTCCCAATATCCGCAATCCGGTTTGAATTTTGGCCATCTGATATTTCCTTGATATCCGATATTTAAAACATTGCAATGAACCCACATTTGATAAGGAATTCTTGTATTATCCTTAGCTATGCAATTGATACTTTGTTGAATGCGTCCCGAGTTTATTTTGTATTAAAATTCTCAGACAGTTCTAACACTCTTAGCCAGTTATCTGATATGCTTGTACATTTGTGCACATATGGCTCCTATTAAAATCTATCCTAGTGAAAATAATATTAGAAAAACAATTCATCATCGCTAACATTCTTTTCCGTACTCTAACTTTGACTGTTTTCTTTTTTGGTTAATTGTTATGACCAACAACATCCCTATTTTATGCTCATTGGCGAATTCATTTCTATCACTATGTATTCTCTTTTTGTAGAAACACCGGATACTTCTTATTTCTCCAATCACCATACCAATAAAAAAACACTAAATACTCTACGAGAGGTGATCTACGTGTTTATCCATTTTCGCATCTCTTCATATCGCGTAGATTAGATTCATCCTAGATAACATAAGAATAGCTTTTCATTTCATCTTATATACAAACATATACTCACATGATATTCGATTACAAGATTTTCAAATTAAAATGAACTCTTGCTGCTTATGTTTCTCTTTACTTGAGGATCAAGTCCATTCCTTTTAGGCTTTTCCTTTTGCTAACATTGATTGTAGTATCTAATTCATCATGGGTCGTTATTATTTCATGATGAAGATCTAAGACTTGTTTCTTATATGCATTAATAGAAGTATATGAGAAGTTAATCTTTAAAGTATGCTAAATATTAGTTTCTCAATAAGCATTAAAAGTTGTTGTTTGTTATTCTTATAGAAACCTTATTTCCGTTGGTGTGTCTTAACAACAATTTTGTGTTTTACTTTTTTAGGGTTACCAAGATAACTGGCTGTAATGTGCCATATCAATGTTGTGCATCTCCTCTGTTACTGTTATTCCCTTTTTATTTCTTCTAAATCTCAAGCCTACATGGAATAGACGTGGAAGGTTGAAGATTGTAAGCTAAGATTTTTAAGGTGTTATAAGTTGGATCTCTTGGTGGGTACAAGAAATCTTTTTTCTGTATTGCGAATTATGTTCTGTTGTTATGGGATAATTTGGACATATTGATGTGGGTAATGTCACTGAACTCGTGTTTTTCTATGGAGGAGATTTCATTAGTTCTTAGGATATCTTATTTTTTGTTGCGAGAACACTTGTAACAATTCTTGTCTTAAGGACTATGAACTTGATACATGCTTCTTTATTGTAGTTTGATGTATATTGATGGCTGTAACAACTCTTTTGATTACTATCTCATGGAACTACTTGTGTTCTTAGGGAGATCAACCTCACTGTGGGTTTCCTGAAAAGAATTTTTCAACGAATTTAGAGAAATTGGCAAGAAAGGTATACACATCAAATTAGCATGTTTCTTCATGAATTCAGATAGCAAGTCTTAAACAGTGATGACATCAGTTTGATGGGAATTTCATTGGGATCTCTTGGTAATGCAGGGATATCGTGTTCTTGTTGTGGAGCAGACTGAAACACCACAACAACTTGAACTTCGCCGAAAAGAGACGGGGTCGAAAGATAAGGTAAATGATATTGCTGAAGCTCACTAGTCTAATTGTACATCTGTCTCCTTACAGTGTAGCTAATTCAGTAATTTGAAAACGAGGTATAAGTCATTGGTTTTTTTCTATAGTGTTTTAAAATATACTATTTTCTTTACCTGTTAGTTTCAGTTAGTACCATGTGATTTCCTTCTGTTTCATTTTGAAACTATATATTGTTTAACCTTGTTATATTAATAAAATTCTGTGACTATTTTTCCTCTAAAGGTTGTTAAACGGGAAATTTGTGCCATGGTTACAAAGGGAACACTGATCGAAGGAGACTCACTTTTGACAAATCCCGATACTTCATATCTAATGTCAATTACTGAGAAAAGCAACTTCTTAGAGAATCAAAAGAAAGAAAGCATAGTCATAGGCATCTGTTTGGTTGATGTTTCCACAAGCATGTTTATGCTAGGACAGGTTTGTTTTCTGATTTTTCTTGTCCATTTAATATGGGGATTCCATAGTACTTAGAAAAAGTCTGTTATTTGTCTTCCTGTGTTCATTTAATGTATAATTCCATCAGTTTTGCATCGTATCCTTGTTATGAAAACTGTTGCTCTTCTATTGCCAGTTCGAAGATGATTCTGAGCGTCACTGCTTATGTTCTATACTGTCGGAATTACGACCTGTAGAAATCATCAAGCCTTCAGAACTGCTCAGTCCTGAAACTGAAAATGTTTTGAAGTACCACACAAGAAATCCATTAATTAATAACTTGGTTCCTTCAGCGGAATTTTGGGATGCTAAAAAAACTATTGACGAGATCAGAAATATTCATTGGGTCCTGACACATTCAACATCAGAATTATCAACTTATGTAAATGGTGACAATTCTGATAATTCAGATACATCGGAGAGACATTCAGGGGGCCTTCCAGACGTTTTATCTGAAGTGGTGACTGCAGGGCCGAATGAATGCTGTACACTTTCTGCTCTTGGTGGTTGTCTTTTTTATTTGAGGCAAGCTTTCCTTGAAGAAGCATTACTCAAGTGTGCTAAGTTTGAAAGACTTCAGTGCAGTGGTTTCTCTGCCACTGCTAAGAGGACACATATGATACTTGATGCAGCAGCACTTGAAAACCTTGAGATATTGGAGAACAAGAAAAATGGAGGCCTCTCTGGGTATTTGAAGCATAAGATATTTACATTTACATAGTCAATTTGTGTATCAAAAGTTAACATTCTTTCTTGATGCAGGACACTATTTGCGCAATTAAATCATTGTGTCACATCTAATGGGAAAAGGATGCTTAAGAGTTGGCTTGCAAGACCACTATATAACAAGAGTTTAATTTTGGAACGCCAAGATGCCATAGCAGGTTTGAAGGTTAGTAATGTGTTTTATGGAAGAAAAGTTTCTTCCATCAGTGCATGTTGGTGTAATTTTTCTGAGAAAGGCCTTTTTGTGGGTCATGAACTTTATTGCTATTTTTGTTGGAATTTTATTTGGTTCATTTGAAAAATGAGTTAATCTGCAAACCCTCCCCAACCCCAACCACCACAACCTCCTAGTAATAAATAAACAGGAAAAGAGAACATAAAAATAATACAGATACATCCAACCATACAAACTCATGCAGCTGCCTAACTGCATGCAATAATTGGACAATCTAGGTGAAATAGGCACCAGACAGTTTGAACTTTGACCCGCTTTCCTTTTGGATTTTGACTTATGTGTGAATTTTAGTCTGTCCACATAGTTTAATTTGAGTTTTTGCTTACATCTATTTTCATTGTCAAGTTTTTCTTTCTAAACAATTGGTGCTGCATTTATCAAATGTTTTTATGATATGCTTCTCTGAGATTTTGTTGTGAATTATAAATATCATCACTCTTTTTAATGAAATACCTTCAGCATTATGTATGTCTAATTGTGTTTTGTACATTTCTGTCAGTCATTCTTGAGCTTTAAGTGCTTCCATGGGTCAAGCTTTAAGTGCTTGAAAAAAATTACTATATGTTATTAAGCTAGGTTAATTTCTTAAATTTCTAGCTTTAGAAGCCTAAGTTATACTTATGTTAAACCAGAAAATCTAGATATTGTATTTGATCAATGGAAAAAAGAAAAAAAAAGAAAAAAAAAACTAGTATGTCAGGTTTAGCATGGCTTTGATGAGGAATTTTTTTGTATACAGTGGTTACACTTACCTAACTGCGATTAAAATGTTTAGGCTATTGAACAGATGGCCAATGCATGAAGATAATAGGACAATGTTCTGTTTAGGACAATGTTCTGTTTACTGTGTTCTTTCACTTTATATTCACTTTATTAAAGATTTAATTTAATTTGAGTTTCTGTACATGTGCCTGTGAAGTGTCAAGGCTTTGAATTTGATATGAAAGATATGATTTTCAAAATAGAAGGAAAATAATCTATTCTGGGATGAAAATTGAAAAATACTTGCTATGTACTTTGGTATATACTGAAAGGGGTGTGATAAATTTTTTCTATTACCGACTGTAATGGTTACCTTTCTAATAAGAGAGATTCAGGATAACGTGTGGTTAAGTGACCTGCTGGAGGTAAATCAAAAAGGAAATTAAGGCATGAGATAAGAATACAGATGAAAAGAGTAACAAGAGAGTATAACCAATAATTCTAGAACAGAAATAGAAAGATAACAGAAAAATGCTTGTAGAGATAATAGAAAGGTTGAAGAAAAGTCGGCCTATTAAGCTATCTGTAGATTAAACCTTCTTTAGTAATTGGATATTTGAATTTATATAGTATGCAAACCTACTATCTAAAATTGTTATTAAATCGTAGCGAAAGCTGAGAGAAAAAAAATGAGCCCAATAGTGGCTGCCATGGGTTAATACTGGACAAGAGGTTTTGGTCAATGGTTGTCTTTTTCTCCAAGATTTGATGTAATCTAGTAATTGTCTCCATGGAAATAGGAAAAACAAGTAGGGCTTGTATCTCCATATAAATTCTTTCAATCTGTAGAGAAACAATTGCATGAAATTGTTTGATTAATTGATCTGAGTTTTAAGACTTTGTTTTTGGTCAAAAAATGTACTTTCTATTAATTGTAAATCTTCCTATCAGGGTACTGGTGTTGCTTCTGCACTTGAATTTCGTAAAGAGTTATTGAGGCTTCCAGACATGGAGCGGTTACTAGCACGCCTCTTTGCTATCTGGTATTATTGATTGACTATAATAGTTTTGTGCAATCATTTATTTTCATCACATCATTTCATGGAGGATACTGTATTGCAGTCTAGTCTGTTTCATGCACCGTCAGTTTTATCTCTGCGTTATCTTACTCATTTGTTAATTTTATAAATTAAGGCTACCATTTACGGTAGTAATACCAGCTTTAGTCTGTTTGATGTTTTGTATCACAGTTTTATGGCTTAGCTAATTTTTATATGCCATAAAGCATTCATGGTTGTTACATAAATGCAATTTTAGAGATCTGTCTCATAGTTAGTTGAATAATGCACAATCAACCACTTTCAAGATCAGTTTCTCCATAGAAATGGACAAGATCTTTTAAACAGTATGCATGGTAGGTTAGGTTAAATCTTGTTCGGATTATATGAAAGCATACGGACAAAAATTGAGATCTTAGGCAAGCACGCAAATCCTAGAAAATAAATGACAATTTATAAACATGAGTTTATGGGGCTGGGAGCAAGTCTTATGTTCATAGGTAGCAACAAATAAAGTTTGTTATTCAAAGAGAGATTATAAATTACACAGAAGGGATCCAAGATCTCGAAACCTTTTCTCACAAATTATGGAAATCAGCCTTTTGGATCTATACTCTTATCTTACCAAAAGGCTTTTTGAAGTCTCTCAAAAGGTCATTGAATCCATTGGAAAAACCTGTGTTTATCGCGCAGTTTCCTAGTAAGATTCCTCACAAAAGCCTGAAAAATTTTGGTATAAATTGGACTTCTAAAATAAAACTTACTGAAGAATCAAACAGTACCCTTGTTAGGAGCTGAGTTTTGCCGCCTATACGCTGCATTATTGAGGAACAGAGGAAGTAGGTGGCTACTCGCACAGCATATAGATGGTGCATTTGAACCTAAGAAATTGGGCGCCTAATAGCACTGCCTATGTGTAGTGCTCTTCGAAGTATAGGGATGATTCCGGTGGAGGAGGATTCAAGAAATCATCTTAACAAATCTATCATGTTATGTCAGGTGGTCCAATAAAGGGAGTTTTTTGTTGAATTATTTTTTTCTCTGCCCACTATTATTAATCAACATCTTCAGTTTCCCATTCATGCAACTGTTTAATAATAGTGGGCAGAAACTCCATGATTTTAGGACTCAAAAAGCATTGAAGAGTTCCTTATCAGCTAAATCTCCATCCTGTGAATATAATGTCCAACGCCATTGATCTTTTTATTGTCGAAATGCTGCAGCAGAAACATCATCATGGTTATGTAGCATTACAGGCAATATCCTGGATGCCAATAGTTAATTCTAAAAACATATTCATTCTGATTAGCCGTAGAGTAATAGTCAAAGCATATCCTATATTTTACTGAATCAAACCATGTCCAACAAACGAGCACAACTATAAAAAATCAAACCATGATGGGGAAATCAATAATAGAGGTGCAGATTTGCTTGGGGGGTTGGGGGTATGGGGGAACAGACCTACAAGGGAAAACAACTATTTTTTTGGGTCTAGGGTTTTTACAGCCGGATGAAGGCTTGATCATGGAGCGAAGAGGGCAAAAGGATAAGTCGAAATGATGGTTCGTCATCGTTGAGGTCAAGGTGGTATCGGGGTGACATCCACGTAGGGGCAGCGGTTATGGTGGCAACAAGGCTTGGGGGTAGTGGCGTGGTGGTACTGTTGGGTACGTAGCGGAGCTAGGGTTAGGGTTTTGGAGAGGGCTAGGGTTCTATAGAGGGCTCTTGGATGTTGATGGAGAGGCTAGGGTTTTGGAGAATGTAGGATGGAGGGCCGAGATTTAGTAGGAGGGGATCCCTTGTGTGGCTCTGATACTGTGTAACTGGGGTAATCAGAAAGGATCATTAGGCCCTCTCTTCTCAAGTCTTATTAATAGAACTAAATTTACAAAGTAGTTTGTTCCTAATCAACATGGCACTGAACAAAACACAACAAACTCATCACAATGGTTCTCAACATATACAAACTATCAAGTAATGATCAAGTAAAAGCATGTAAACTAAGCTACAACATTAGCTATTTACTGGTGCTGTGTAAGCCAATTCTTCATAGTATTTGACATATCTATGTGTGATCCACATGACACATGTAACGGTTTGCATCAAAAATTGTTAGTTAGGTAAAGATGGAATGTGCCAACTATAACTTGAGCAACAATCTGAATAAACAATGGCATAGTTGATGATAATGAACAGTTTTGTTAAAATTTAACTTCCTTGAAGTATTTTCAAGAAGGATTCTGTATAAGTTTTGACCTAATAACTAATTGTTATATTCTATGTTTCTCTTACTTTGGATGGACAACAGTGACAGTAATGGAAGAAATGCGAATAGAGTAGTTCTTTATGAAGATGCAGCAAAGAAGCAGCTTCAGGAATTTATTGCTGCTCTTCGGGGTTGCGAAGTGATGATTCAAGCATGCTCCTCCCTGAGTACTATTTTAACTAATACAGAATCAAGTTTGCTTCATCATTTACTGACACCAGGTAGCATTGAATATACTCAATGAAACTAATAAGTCTGAACTTTATTATTTGGCATACAAATTCATCCTTTTGGTTCTGCATTTTTTTTAATAACTGTAACGAGTAATGAACGCAGGCAAAGGGCTACCTGACGTTTCTTCAGTTTTAAAGCACTTCAAGGAGGCATTTGACTGGATAGAAGCTGAACGTTCAGGGAGGATTATACCTCATGAAGGAGGTGATATTGAATATGATACAGCTTGCAAGACGTTGAGGGACATTGAGTCTTCTCTGAAGAGTTACCTGAAAGAACAACGCAGAATACTTGGGGATTCATCGGTAAATTATATCTATAAATGCAGCACAAACTTGCCTGTGCTTATCCTTCCCATTGCATTGAATAAACATCTACCACTACATTCTTGTTTGTAGGTTACTTACGCTACTGTCGGGAAAGATTCATACCTCCTAGAAGTACCCGAAAGCCTGAGTTTGTCTGTCCCCCGGGGATATGAATTATGCTCTTCGAAAAAGGTATATGACAATACTATGCCTGGACTCTACGTAGCTACTTCTTTCGTTGTTTTAATTAACTTTCTAAGAATGTTTTTTTAAAGTCTATGCAATGCTAGATTATTTTATAAACTCTTTATCATTTCATAGGGTTCAGCATGTTTGTGAATGTATACTCTCTTCTGTGTATAACAATTGCTATGCTACTTCATAGGCTAGGATCCTATTGATAGGATTTAAGCTTCGGTCCTATTTGGCGAGAAGCATAGGACATTTGTAGCACTAAGAGAGAATCAGGATCTAAAGCAATTGAATTTCTTTCATGTGTATCAGGTGAAATCAAATTGGACAGCTTTTAGTAACAAGCTTGTTATATTTAAGGTCTAAAATATTATAAAATATAAAATTTGGTGTAGAAAATGTCTGCACGATGTAGCTTAAGATAAATGGTCAGGATTCCTTATTTTGAAGCTCTATATATTGTTTTGTCTAAATATGCTACTTTACTCTTTCATTTTGTAAGTTGCTGATCGGTCGGAAAATCTTTTCAAATAATATTCTTTTTTTAGTCTATTTAAATAGCGTATATTACATCATTTACATCTAAATGGCTGAGTGGATTTTAAATCTTGATGCTTTAACGTACACTTTTTAATTGGACCACAATCAAATTCTACAATTGGATTCTAATTGTACATGTACACACTTATTATCACAAGCTTGAATTTATATAATTGTTGCATGTTAAAATAACTTTTTGGAGCTTTAGTTTCTTTTCACAACTTGTCTTGTGGAGCATGGTGATTTTTCCCTTGATAGATGAATCACTAGACCTTTTGATTATATTATTCACATTTTTGTTTTTGTTTGTTTTACCTTATCAGACGACTAATATGATACAATTCATAGCCACATTAATATAAATATAATACTTTTTCTAGGATCTTGTTTGTAACTTGTTCTATTTTCAGTCATTTAAAGTGATAACTAATAACTTTATAAACTAGTTGTTACGCCCCGGGCCCATGGGCCCGTTGGCGTGTGCAAGCCGTAAGTCTACGGAGAGCAACTCGCGGGTTGGCTAAATCTATTTTGTCAAAATGCTATCACTAGTTACTCTTAGGCAGTTTTTCTCTATTTAAACCACTAACATTTTTTCACACTAGTCTATGTGGGACTAAAGTGTAGGGGTGTCACAATCATCCTACCTTACAAAGATGTCCTTCTTGTTGTCACAACATGATAATTGGCACATCTCAGTATCACTGCCAGGTGATGTGGACTCTAGAGGCTACGGGTTGTAGAGGTGGCTCCTACCGCATCCACGTGGTGTAGCACTTAGCCCCATATAGCACTTAGCTTCACACTTCCGGCTGGCTAACTTCTTTGATACCATTTGTCACGCCTCGGGCGCACGGGCCCGTTGGCGCGTGCAAGCTGTAAGTCCACGTAGAGCAACTCGCGGGTTGTCTAAATCCACTTTGCCAAAATGCTAGCACTAGTTATTCTTGGGCCTTAAGCTTTTCTCTATTTAATCCACTAACATTTCTTCACGCTAGTCTGTAGGGGACTAAAGTGTGGGGGTGTCACACTAGTGATCATTATTAAACAAAACAATAATGTTGACGTAATGCATACACACATATATTTGCATAGACTCGTGCGCACACAAAACATATTATACACACACACACACACACACACACACACACACATATATATATATATATATATGTATGTATGTATGTATGTATGTATGTGTGTGTGTGTGTATACACACACACACACATACATATATTTATACATACATTATCAATGTTTTAAAAATTGGTCTACTTTATAGATACATCGCCGATATATTGGGTTTGGACCACTGCCGATATGATTTCTAGTAAATTAAAGTTATTGTTTTTCACCAATTTCCTCTGATATATCAGTGAAAATCTGACAAATAGGCCACTTTTTATAGGGTCTAAATCGGCTGATTTTGTCAAAAAAAACCCAACTATTCCTTGGGTTTTGGGTCCCAATACCCTTGTTTTTCAGACCCAAACCCGATACCAGCTACATAAAATCAAAACTACCGATCCTACTCGTTGTTTCCCATTACATCTGGAGCAACCAACCCTAATTTCTCTTTGTCGCTCCGATCTCTCCCAAAGTTCAGTGGTTCGATAACTTCGAGTCCTTTCTCGAAAGCATTTTGGTATATTTACATTTCATTAAGTGTGCTTAGATTGCATTTTAGGACATTATATTATATATGCTCACCATTCAATATGACACTTTGATTCTTACTAATCGCCGATGTATTCCCTATTACCGCAATTCGATATGAATTTTGGTCATGCAATAAATTTCCGATGACCAATATTTAAAATCTTTGTACACACATAAGCATGCGCACACATAGCTATAACCATATATACATATATATATGTATAAACACATACTCTGTGTGTGTAGCTGTTTGTGTGCACGCGTACGCGTACGTGCATGTTTGAGTGTGCACACGCATATATATAAATATGTGTATATATTCAAATATATGTTTGTAGAGATGCATATATATTTTTATACAGGTATATGTGTGAATTCATGAGAGAGAATGAGGTTATCGGTAATTTTTCCTTCTCAAAATGCCAATTCACTGGTGATATGGGCTAATAAAAGAGTTAAGGTAATGAGGGGCCAGTTATCTGTAATTTTTTTTCTTAATACACCAATTTACTAATGGTAAGTGCTAATAAAAGAGTTAAGGGGATGAGTGGGTCGTCTGCAATTTATCTTACATACATATGCGTAGACATATGCATGCATACACACACACATACACATAGAGAAGTACAAAGACACACACAAGAACATGAGCACACACAAGTCACCCAAATCAATTAATCCTTGGGTCTTAAAATTTTTTGTTCTTTTGATTTTTTTTCTCTTTTCACATGCCATATATGATCTCACTATAGAATCTTACAGTTGCCACAGAATATTTGTGTAGTTGAGGCATTAGAGCCACAAGTTAACAATGGTTCCAGTGAGTAGTATGCAATTTATATGGAACCTCTGTTGAAGAGATAAAATAAAAGTTGTTTGTTCTTAATAATTGGATGAGTATTGGCCCTTATAGCCATCAGAAAAAAGGTTTTAAGGCTTCAAGTGGCCTCGGACAACTTCCGAAAGATGTTAGATTCTTGAGTTCAAATCTGAAAACCTTGTGTTTTGAGGGGAAATTTTCTGAGAAATTCTAGGAAAAAAACATTTGTTACATAAGCTCACCTCAATATCAGATAACTGAATGTAGTTGAAAATATTTGGAATGACTTGGCTCTTTTTTTTTTAATTTACCAATGCACATATCGGATTAGACTTAAAAAAGAAATAGTACAGAGTTTGAGTTTGCTGTAGTATATGTAGTTTTGTTCATAAGAGACAACAAGTAACCCTACTATTTTTTTTCTTCGTTGTTTGTGGTAACCTTCTATTCATGGTTGGTCAGCGTATCTTAGTTTAGTTACATAGACTTCCTATGCATTTCTAATAGATCAGTAATCAGTAATGTCATCACAAAGCCGCATAGTTAGAAATGAGAAGACCATTCCTTCCATGTATAATTATTATTCACTTGGTGTATTCTCATGACTACTGAGAAGTTACAAGCAGATTTATCCATATGAAAAATAATTATTGTGAACCATCAGAAATGAACTTGAACTTCTGTCAAGGATGCCTTTAATGAAACTAATCTTTCTAAAGAAAATTTTTAAAGGTTTTCTCTTACATTAAGATGATCCTGCTTTGTTTTGTGTACTTGTTAAAGGGATACGTTCGATATCGGACACCAGAAATTAAGAAGTATTTGTCAAAACTTGCTCAAGCTGAAGCAGACAGAGAATCTAAATTGAAAAGTATTCTTCAGAGACTATTAGGGCAATTCAGTGAGCACCATAATAAATGGAGGCTGTTGGTTTCTGTAATAGCAGGTATTCCACTCCATTATTAGTAATTATGCTGTGTTTTGTCACATATATTTTCTACCATTTCAAATCATATTCTTTCTATGTTGAATATAACAACGACAACAACAAAGCCTTTATCCCAAATTAGGGCAAGTTCTATTTCACATATATTATCTACTCTTTTTGTGTTGAATATGATCATGTTGAGTTGCATTCTTTGCTTTTGATTGGCAGTTTTCTAGGTCTTTTGGTCAGTATCTCATCCCTGAAGTTGCAATGTGATTTCTTATAAAAAAACTTGATCATCTATCCTTTCTTTCGTACTAATAGTTGGAGGCTTCTTCCTTCTTTCTATAAGCTTGAGCTGCACAACATACTTATCTAATAGGCAACTCCCTTCTCCTCCCCCAAACCAACATCATCCCCACCCCTAGTAAAGTAGGGACACATTATAGTGTGGTAAGGCCCTTCTGTTGTGACTTTTAGGGTTTAATGTAGATAATTTTATAAAGGAGATTAAGAACAAACAAACTTCCATGATGAACAAGCTGATTTTATGTGGTTCAGTGATATGCCTACGTCCACGGGAGAAGCGGAGCTTTTTTTATTACTTGAAGGATAACAATACAATGTTTCTTTTATTTTCTAGCATCGACAAAAAAGTAATCTCTTTTGTCTTATAAATCCTCACAAGAGTATCATTTCCTTTTTCTTCTTTTTCTTCATCCTCTTAGAGCTCATGTCTCTCATCTTACAACGAACCTCTCAATTTCTATTGATTGATTCTTTTCTCCTATGTTGAGTTCATGTAAGATTCCTCTCCATGATGCCTTTGACAAATTCTAATTCCATAAGATTCCTTTCTCATGATGCCTTTACCTAGGATTATTCAAATGTTAATCACCTTTCAATTATAAGTCGATTCTAATTTTAATTTTTTCTTTAAGGTCAAGGCCACTCGAAATAAAATTAGGATTTGACTTGAATTGTTTCAATGCATACCATATTCAATATCACCCCTTAACTTGTACTGAACAATCTATGGCTTTGTTGCGCCAACTGCACGGCTTCCACCTAAAAGTATGTACTGCTCTCAGTAAGTATCTAAACACCTTCATGACCTTGACTTAAAGTCATGTACCGATCTCAACACCTTAGTACCTGAGCCTATATTGGACGGGAATATTACCCATACTAGTGTGAGTGCTGGTACGAGATACAACAAATTTGTAAAAGATAGGTTTTGGGGACACAAAATCAGTGTTTTAAAGCGATGCTCCATAGTGTTTTAGGTGCTTAGCCGGTACCTTATTGTTTGGAACATCATGCGTGATGAAGGCTACTAAATCGAGTGCCTTTTGGCGCCTCCAGAGTTCGCCTTGTTGCCTCATGAGCTTGCATTAGACATGTGCAAAGAGGCACGGAATGTTCGGCATTTGTTTTGAATTTTTGAAGGCATGAGAGGTGTCTGATTTAAAGCAAAATTCGTTTTGAATTTTTGTTTCTTTTTTTCTTGTCTGATTTTTTGTTATTTTTTGTTGTAATGTACTATATTATGCATATCATTTTGACGATATGACACAATTTGAGCAATAAGAGTTTAAACTTTGTCGCTTAATTATCTATATTAGTAGTTGCTAGTTATTATTATTGTTCAATATTTGTTAGTTACTACTTTATTTAAATAGTTTGACTTGTTAGATATCATAATTTGTGATCTTGAAACTTTGAGTGTGATTAATTTATCTAGTTGTGATTGTTGTTACACACCTGCAACCCGATACCGATTGTTGGCCACCAACCATCGTTCTGTGCGGAAGCGTTACCTGCGGAAGAGTCAACAAAACTCCCAATTAGATCTCCTTCACAGACCGATCGAGCATCCAGCGATGTGAGAATGTTGAGAAACTTCTTCGAACTAAAAAGAAATAAGTAAATTATCGTAGAAAAGAGAATAATTGTGCAAAGACATGAGATTTAAGTTGTTCGGCAAGTGCCTATGTCCATAGGGATATGTTTGAGTCTTCTTAATACTAGTGATAACAATAAACAAACTTTCTTATATGTTCTCAAAAGAATCCAGAAGAAAACATCTCTAAATTTCTCTAAAAACATCTCTAAATAGACTTTAGATTTCTCTCTTTCTCTTTTTTTCAATATGCAACTCACCTTGACTTTTTTCTGTTTTAAATGTTGACCTGGAAGGCCTCTATTCATAGGATATAAACCGGATACAATACTATATAAGACTCTTGACCCGAATAGAGTTTCAAAACAATCACAATTAATCTAACTTTGTTTGACTGACTAGGTCCAACCAGCAAGTATGACTAGCCAGTATACTGGCAGCGATATGCCACCGATCGAACTAGCAAGTGTACCATTGCACATTTGCCATTTCGCCTTGTTTTTTTCCTGCTTCATTTCTGACTCTTCTGATGTTTTTTGGGCTGAAATTCAAGGCTAATTTCCAACGATCTCTACTTTAGGTTTATATGAAGCTACCTTTAAAATCATCGATCCACCCTTGTCACATTCTGCTGTAACATTATAAAACCATAGTGAACAAACACCTTAAAGAAATTATCTTCAAAGTTCTCTCTTCTAATGGGTTGGCTGGCACTATCATCGCTCGTTGTTTGGTGCCAAGCCCTTTGTCGACTTGACACCAACACTTATGGCTGCACCCTCCAAGCTCGGCTCTCGACTTGTCGCCGATTGCATCTTAACTCCACCTAGAGTTGAACTCTCGTTTTAGCTCTCCCTTGAAACCCATGTTTTGAGCATACCCCTCTTTCTTGTGGTCTTATGTCATCTTGAAAATGAAGCTCCTCCTTGAACTCTAATTCCTTTAGGCATCCGATATAGGCCATTTTCACAAATCTTTCCCTTAAGGATGAGATTCCTAGTGCAATATACAGTAATAACCCTCTGTGCACTTGGGTTCGGTAACCATAGAGTCAAGCACCCCTAATGATGTTAGATTCAGTCTCGCCTTCGGGACTAATTGAACATTTGCCAAAGCGACCATGCTCCCCTTATTACTGCCGTCATGACCTCTTCTACTCCCACGACGTCGCATCTCATGTTATCTACCATATAGACCGTGTTCTTGACTCCTAGCATCAGGGACACATACATGCTCGTTTAGGAACATATATGTGCGGTGCCCAGAATCTAATACCCAACCATCAGAAGAAGTGTTGTTCTTAGAAACCATTAACACCTCGACTCAATGCCTTTCACCCTCTGAAACCACTAACTTGTCATCTACTTGATTTTCCATCATAAGCGCTACATAGGAAGGTTGCGTCGCAGTCCGATCCTCCATGTTTTGTCCCCACAACTACTCTTTTCATTTGAAGCAGTCTTTACATGACCCTTCCCTTGACAAAAGTAATATTACTTAGCCCATGATCTTGTCCCGTTCTAAGATCTCTAGCTCATATCTGCCACTAACTCGTCACCCAATCGTCACCCAACTCATCACTAACACGCTGTCATTGCTGAAAATCCCCATGAGAAGTGCCATTTTGACCTCGCCCTCGGTGATTGTCTCCTTGCTTACTGTCAATGGTGGCTTCAGATATTGGTAACTCTTGAGAAGAGTGTTCTGTAGAATTATCACTTTGTTCACATCTTTAAGTTTTGATCCTTTCCCTCGTTAACTCGGTTATAATCCTGTTGAAGTTGCTTAGATGCTCTAACTCACCGTACAATCCTTTATCCGTAGTCTATACAACTACTGCCTCCAGTACAAGTTGGTGGATAGACTTTTGGCCATGTACAACTTTTTAAGTTTCTTCCACATTCTAATTGTGCTTTTCTCCTCAATCACGTTATATATCTCTTAATACAATTAAGAGAGTAGGACTGTACTCTGCGCGTTTCAATTCATCCTCATCCACATGTCACTTGTCATCTTCTCCAGATTCTTGTCACCTCCTAGTAAAGCTTGATCTAGGTAGAATCAAGATCGCCTCCATCATCTTATACCAAAGCAAAAAAATCTCTCTTATCATCCAGCATCTCAAACTCGGTCTTCATCACCGAAGAACATTCTATTGCCATGTTGCAAGATCAAGTCTTTTTCCAAAGATAAGTCTCATCTAATTTGAACTGGCTCTGATAGCAATTGTTGGTGCACACCTGACACCTGCCGTATCTCGATACCGATTGTTGGTCACCAATTGGTGTTCTGCATGAAGGTGTTGTTTGTGGAAGCGTCACTGAAACTCCCAATTAATCTATCATCCATCAATGTGAGAACACCGAGAAACTTGTTATAACTAAAGAGAAACAAGTAGACCATGATAGAATAGAGAATAACAATGCAAAGACGAGAGATTTATGTGGTTCGGTAATCTCCTACATCCACGGCGAGAGATTTGAGTTATTATAATAGAGATTACAGGATACAAACTTTCTTGCATTGTCAAAAGAATCCATAAGAAACTTTGTCAATCATATAAAAAAGATCTCTACAAAACCATTAAATCTGTCATTAGTTCTTTCTACCTATCTTTTAAACATGCAACTCTCTTTGGCTTTTTCTCTTTTAAACCTAGACTTGAAAGACCTCAATTTATAAAATCCAAATTGGATATAATACCATATAGAATTGCTAACCCGAATAGAAATCCAAAACGTTCAGTATCAACCTAGGTCGATCTGATCAACCGCTGTGAACGGTCTTATACTAGCAACAACAATTTTTTTTTAAAACCAAACC